TTGGATGAGAAGATTGAGGAAGAGCTGGTGATTTGCCTGTTTGGTCTCAGATATAATCCCCTGATTACATCCAAGCATGATGTTGGAGGGCAGGAAGAGAGGAGAAACCAGACTATTTCTCCTACTCTCTCTGCTTTGGGTAGCATCCCCAGTGACAGATGTGTTTCTCTGCTGGTCTGAATTCTTCAGATACCCTCTCCCTCCATGTCCCTAGTTCCTCAGGTCTGTAACTCCTCTCTCGGTCCTTCTACCCTCCAGATGTAGTGGTTTCCAGTTGTACCTAGTCTCTGAGTTGCCTCACATTCCACTTGCCCTTTGAACTCTTACAATATTATAACCAGTTTCATCAATAAAATCCCTGATCCTGAAATACAGGCAAGGGCTATTTCTCTGGACTCAGACTGATACAGACCACTTGCGAGGGCAGAATGAAAGTCCTAGCTCAGGTCTCCTAATTCAAATGTCGGTGTCTTCCCACTACCCTTCTCTGGCCTAAAGGGAGCATCGGAGGAAACAGACCACCTTCTGGCCAACCAGGAAGGCAATGCTTTGATCTAAGTTGCACATTATTTTAGAGGAATGTAAAAATATATATTTTTTTTCATACATAATCAATTTTCTGGGCAAGTCATCTTACATTCATCAGCATTTTCCTTTTGTGTTAATACAGCACATTATCATGTAGAACTTTGAATCTTTCTCACATATATCCCCACTTCTCCTATATGTTCTTTTGGAACAGGCAGTGGAAAAGTCATGGAAAAGTGAAGGGACTTCAGGGAGACCCAGTAGAGCAGGAGATGAGAACTGAGTAAGAACCAGGTCTGGGTAGGAATCCAACTGAAGTGGTTGGTGTTGCCAAAAAGAATATGGGGTAGCTTTACCTGAGGGGCAGACCAGGGCTCATGGGATCCAGTGACATCTGAGAGGGATAAGAGGTTTGACAACTTCCCCAAGACCATAATACCGGTAATGGCAGAGTGGGGAGGAGAAAGCTCTTTGGCAGTTTCCAAAAGGGGATGCGGGAATCGGGTTGGAGTTGGGGCCACAGAAAACAGAAGAAAACACCTGACCCAGCCACAGGTCCTGTCCACCATTCCAGGGCAGCACGGACAGGATTTGCTGGTCTATGTCTTACCATGAGCTAATGAGACAGAAATGAAAGCACATCCAGGATCTGTCACAAAAGACCTTTAATGGTCCCTTATTTATGGTTCTTTTGTTCATTGTCCTGTTAGAGTTGAATAAACTGTAATAACTTATCTGACATTATAAGGAATGCCACAGGTACAACAGATAAACCTGGCAGGTGGCCCAGGAATGAGGGCGTAACAAAATAATCACTTAACAGAAGGGCCACAGACCTGGAGACCTGTCCCAGTCACCTGTCACTCCCTGCATCCAGGATCCACACAGTCACTGTGCCAGGCTCAATGCTGGCTCCCATTGGGTAGGAAGAGGCACATCTCCCATAGTGTGTGTGGCTAGAACTTAACACTGAGCAGAGATGCTCCAGGAAGATGTTACATCCCATTAGTCATTAATCCCATTAATCAAGTAGTCTGCTGATCTGCAGTGCAGGCCATGACCACACCCCAAGTTTGTGCAGATCCCACCTCTCATATGACACTGCTTATCATGCCCACCTATGACCTTCCCTTGCAGTAATCCCTGTGAGGAGGGCAGAGCTCGGCACTAGCCCCATCTTACACATGAGGAAACTGAGGTCAGTGGGGTTCCAAGGGCATACTTAGGCTGAACATAGAACTCTTTCTCCCATGCCACATGGTTGGCTATGCCCTGAGCCTCACATTTTCCCCATAGAATTCCCTCAATAGGGCTTGGACAGGATTCTGTGTCAAGGGCTAGTCCAGGTCTCACCAATGTACCCCCCCAACTTAGCCCTGGTCAGGGGCCCTAGCAGAGAGGCAAGCTGGCAGAGAGAATGTGGGAGACTGTGGGTGGGGGACCAGCATCCCTTCAGTCACCTTTCTGATGCCCACACACTTGCTTGTCCACAGATGTGGGAGCAGAATCCTATTAGAATGGCTCAAGGGAAACCTACTGCTTTAAAAGTCTCTGGAGGGGCATGTCCTCACAGGAGGGACTTCTGTCATAAAGTCCTCCCTCAGCACTTGTTTTGTAAAAAACCCAGACATCGATCCATCTGGCTGTATGTAAAGAGGAACCTGAGTCTAGTTTCTCCTTCTCTCATTATGTGTCCCTTAGGCCTGGGCCAGGGAAGTGGGGTGCAGACACAAATTGTGGGGTGGGGGCTGGGCCTGTGTCCTTGCTCCTCAGTCCCCCACACTGCATGGGCTGATATCAAGGTAAGACTCATCCTCACTGAGCACCAGGCCCCTGCCTAAATCAAACCCAGGCCAGAGCTTCAGGGTGGGTGAGCTACAAAACCATCAAATGTGTATATGCACGTGCGTGCGTGCGTGCGAGCGTGCATGCATGCGTGTGTGTGTGTGTGTGTGTGTGTGTAAGCAAATGCTTGGGCCTGGGTCTGCGACCCAAGTTCCAATACAAAGACACTTTGTATTGGAATGCTAGAGCCATTCCAACATGAAAAGCAAGAATAGAGCCTGTGCTTGCTGGTTGAAGATCAAACCTTAGAATGGTGGTTTGAAGAAGTTTTTCTTCAAAAATTTGAAGGTGAAACCTCAATAGGCAAGACAGATAAAAGCAGAGTTGTCCTGGTGGAAGTGGGGATGAGGGAGAGCTGGAGACCTAGCCTTTGCCTCCACCCCCATCTTCGCACCTTAGCAGCCCCTGACAACGCTCTGTGAAACTCAGGGGTTCCACAGCACCTGGTTTGAAAACCACTGTGTCAAGAGTGTCTATAGATCATGGGTCCTGGGGACCTGTGCTTTGATTTCTCTTTCAGAGTGAGGAGTTGGGAGAGAGTCCTGGGGGAGGGGTTCCCCCTTCAATGAGCCTTTGAAGCCACTGTGTGGCGACACTGCAGGGGAGTGGGAGAGGTAGGGACCCTGTGCCACAGGTAGGCCATTTCGGTCTGGAGGGAGGACAGAAGCGATGGACCTTCCTGGACAAGAATGGCAAAATGCCAAGCTCAGTGCAGGCTTTATGCATGAGGGTCAGGGAGGTCTGTTTTGGTCCTTGTTGACTTTAAAAACAGAACAGATATAGGCCCACGCCCATGAAACCCAATTATAGTTTAAGATTGGGGCCAATGCCTTCCTCTGGGATGGGTGGAGAACGTTCAGTCCCCAGTCACCGGCAGGAGAGAAGCTGCCTTTGTAGGATACTGGAGCCACTGGGTCAGCGCGGGCTCAGCTCTTGGGGTAAGAGGCCTGGGTTTTTCCTGGGCCCAAATCCCTCCTAAGTGTCACCAAGAAGCATTGGCAGCTGTGTTTGATCCTGGAGGGGGCCTTCTACTTTGAAAGGCAATTTCTATTCCACCTCACCCTTGGGGTTCTTAGATGGAAGAGTGGTTCAGCCCTCCCTGGGCCTGGGGGTTGGCGGCTCTCCCTAACCTGGGATCAGAGCCAAGGCTTTTCTGGTCTCTATGGGATCTGAAAGATGGGATATGTGGGTGGCACCAGGCTTGTGACGATCCAGAAAGCCCAATCACTGATGACATCCATGGCTTGCCTATCTGTCATGATCACTGAGACCGCTATCTGTGGGCAAGGCATTCCTGAGGGCACGGTGACCTTCCCGTGTGACCCCGGGTTGGCCCCCTGCAGTGGCAGTGCCACGGCCTGTGCAGCCCTTTGCACCTTACAGAGCTGATTTTCATCTCCTCTGGGCCTTGCAATTCCTTGAGTCAGGTGGGCAAGGGATCACGACCTCATTTTACAGCTAGAGAAACCGAGCCCAAGAGGTCGAGTGACTTGCTCAAGGCTAATCAGCTGGTTGGTGACAACTGGACAGGAGGCCCAAGGGCTTCCAGGCCAGCACCGCGGGCACGGTGGGCTTCCAGGCCAGCACCGCGGGCACCGTGGGCTTCCAGGCCAGCACCACGGGCACCGTGGGTTTCTAGGCCAGAACCGCGGGCACCGTGGGCTTCCAGGCCAGCACCGTGGGCACCGTGGGCTTCCAGGCCAGAACTGCGGGCACCGTGGGCTTCCAGGCCAGCATGCTTTGCATGGCACCATGTAGGAGCCAGCTTGTTGGCAACACGCCCAGCTGAACCAGCCCCTGGTGTGCCCACTCTCACCTGTCTGTGCCTTGAGGCTGACGCAGCCCATGGACTCCAGCCAAATAACTCAGTCCTTATCTTCAAGGGGACTGAACTCTTCTCACAGTGGTAGTGCTGAGGACATCCAGCTGGCCCTCTGCCTGTAGATTTTCACCCGGGGCCATGTTCTTTCCTTCCGCCCAGACTTTTATCTATATGCCCATCCACAAAGCCCACTGGAATGTACCAGTGTGGAGCTGTGTGGTCAGCACAGAGCCCACATGTGTGCACAGAGAGCCGATACTGTGGGCTGGTGCCTGGAACCCAGTGGGGGCTCCTGCATCCCCAGTTTCACTCCAAGATCTCACCTGATTCCAGACAGGTTAACCTCCAGATGGAGAGGGGCTCAGCATAGAAGGACTCAGTTATGGTGGGGGCCACAGGTGGAGTGGGGTCTGGAGTCAATCAGAAGCTTTGAAAGATGATCTGGGTCTTTCTCTCAGGAAGAGGCCAAAGGAAACACTCTGGCTTGAGCGTGGCACCTGGCTGGCAGGTGGGGCTGAACTCCAGTCTGTGCACCATTCAGTTTTGCATTCTAACATGGGCTGAATCTACCTGGAAAGGGCACTGCTTCTAATTCACAGCAAGGCACTATATGAACCAGCAGCAGCCAAGGAGCCCTGAAAGCAATGGCTCCCATTACTCCCCACTATAACATTCACCTGACCATGAACTTTCTGAGGACAGGGGCTGCGACTGACCCATCTCTGTGTCTCGAGTGCCCAGCACTGAGCAGAGACTGTCAGCCAAGAGCTGTTAAGCCAAGTTCGAACGAAATCGACTCAAAGAGTAAAAGTCTAGATGAGGCTATGATACTTCCCACAGCTAGAGAAATTTCCATTAAAAACACTGGGATAAACCCCAAATGGTGAGTGTGACATTGAGGTGAAGAAGCTCAAGAAACCAGGCTGACAAATCTTTCATGTGTGCCAGTGAGGGATAGAGGAAGAGGTTTGTAGGGGAGTGATCAATTACCTCAAATCCTAAAGTGCCTCATACCAGCCTCAAAGGTTCCAGAGGAAGACGCTTGGCCTGTATTGCTAAAGCCCTTCATCAACTCTTCAGCTGTCCAATGAGGTGTGGACTGCCAGCAAGCTCTGGTAGAGAGGCTGGCAACCCCAGGGCTGGCCAGGAGAGTATGGCTGCCCCAAGCTGACTTGGTCCTGACCTGGGGCAGGGAGTCCCTAGCCTCAAATCTTCATGAGATTCAGGAGAAGGGCTGAGGTGCAGTGCTAGGTCTGTAAACTGGGTAATCTCACCATGGATGATGGTTACAGAGCCCACCTCAGGAGGGGCTGGACAGAAACGGTTTGAGACCCAACTTGCATAACAAATGTTTGTTGTCTCCTTTTTCAGGGAAGTATGGGACAGAGTAAGAGGGAGCAGGGATGGAGGAGAGCTCCCTTGCCCTGCTAAGCAATATATTTGCTTGGGTATAAGGTAAACCTCAGGGGGCCTACCATCCACAGGGAGCTGTGAGGCACCAGAGGCCCTGTCATGAGCAAATACAAGCTTGACCTTCTGTAACACTCAGGCCCTAGGGCCGAGCAGCTCGTGCTAGCTATGGCCACAGTTTGACATTAGATGACCCTCCAGAGGCCCAAGAAGGGCCCTTCTCCAGCCTGGAAAGGGGTTGGCTAGGAGTTTGCCAGGGCCCCACTGCCTCTGGGGTGCAATGAATCACCTCTGGAGGCAGACAAACAAGAGTCAATGGTCTGGCTCTGGTTCCACCCACCATACCAGAAGCTCTAAGGTTTACAAATTCTTAGAGGCCAGAGCTGGGAGGTCCCTTTGTGATTATCTGGTCAAACCCCTAGGTTTTCTAGGTGAAGAACTGAGGCCCAGAGAAGGAAAGGAACTTGCCCAAAGTCACACAGTAAGTGGGTGTCAAAGTCCAGACAAGAACAAATACCTTTTAACACTTTCTACCTCATCATCTGCCCACTCTATTGCCTAAAAATGCCCCAGGTCTCAATCACACCAACACCAGCCAATGGGTGCTGAGTATCCATGACACTGGGAACTGGTGGGGGTTCATCAACTCCCTAAGGAAATGAAGGGTTCTTTGCTACCTGACAGTCCCTTTCCTTTAGGTGAGGGCATCCTGATGGACCATGCCACCTTTTGGGAAAGAAGCCCCTCTGACTGTGGGCATGGTGGCCTCAAGCACTATCTCCCAGCCTGTGGGCCAGCCCAGCTCAGCCCGGGTGAACTGTAAGGTGAAGCAGGGGGATATGGGTGTCCCCAGCCCCGTCTGGACCTCCAGCCTTACTTCCTGAGGGATCACCGATTGTTCTTACATCCGCAAAGGAGGGAACAAAGCAGATTCTTATCTTCCTTGCCCCTGACCTCACCTCTCAGAACCACCCTTCAGGAAACCTCCCCAGGAGCTTGAGCTCATTCTACTTCTGGTTGGTGCTTTCCGAAGACCCCTCCCTTCTCTCTCTGTGCCTGTGTACGGACAGGACACACACATAAAATACAAGGTAGCTAGGATGTTACATCCTGACAGTACTGAAATAGATGGGCTAGTTCACACAGCTTGCCTTAGACTGAGTAACTGCTGGTGAGAAAGCCAGTCTGGTGGCTTTTCTCTACTCCTGGGGTCTGCAAACCCTCACCAATGGTCACTGTCAGACACAGAGGGATGGAGGGTGGGGACAGAGGGCTGGATGGGGAGAGGTGTTTGTTGGGTCTCGACTGCATGAAGCCATTGAGCATTTATCCACAGTTATGCCCCTCCCAGCCAGACGAGGGTGGCCCTCAGGATAGTCATCTTTTAGCTGCCAGAGCTGTGTTAGCCACCTGGGACTGTGGGCACCCTCTCACACGTCTTGAGCCCTCACCTTTCCAAGCCCTATGCCCCACATTCCCCGTTCTGCTCCCCATCCCAAGTCAAATTCCAAGGCCAGAGCCAGGATGGCCTTTCCGGGGGGTCGGGTGTCACCAGGAAAAGAGAGGGGCTGGAGGGGTGCCCCGCGACAGGGGTGAGAGGGGTGAAGGTGGCCCATGTGCCCCTTGTTGGCATGGTGATGTGGGGCCAGTCCTGAGGCCAGAGGTTCACCACCGTGACCTGGAAGAACACTGGGCCCCCTGGTAGTAACTAGAAGAACAAAAGAGAGGGGGAACGAGAACGGGAAGAAGACGAATAAGCATCCTAGTGCAGGAGAGCTGACCCGGAGCTGCCCGGAGGGGGGCTGGCCCCAGTCTATCTGTCGTTGAGCTGCGGAGAGCCAGTACCATCCTCTTCCTCCTCCTTGTCGTCCTTCATGCCTTTCAGTCTCTGGCGGGCAAAGTCCTCAAACACGATGTCGTCATCGCTGGTGGGAAAGACAAGGAAAATGGGATGTGCTTGCAAGGCAGGGAGAGTAGGTTTATCCAGAAGGTTGGATGGGACTCCGAGGCTGTGCCCTGGGGTTGACCGTGGGCAGAAAGGCCTGTCAGGCTGGCCCATCTAGATGCCCTCCAGTGACAGTGGGACTGGTCGTATCGGGACTCCAGCCAGTCGTGGAAATACCAGAGGGATACAAGGGTTTGACTTTCACACCTAAGGGCTGGGAAGGGACCCAGTTCTTAAGGATTTGGGGGTGGGAGGCGGATATCAAATGGGGCTGGAGGTGCAGTGTAGCTGGGCTGGGGCCAGAGGGAGAACGTATTCACACTGCGAGAGGCCAGGCCACCAGCACTTTCACAGCCTATACTGAACCCCCCAGAACAGGCCCAGGAAAGCCCACCACCCACCCAAAGAACTACCCTCGGGAAGCATTCCTGTGTCTGTACAGGATGCTGCCGGCTTGGCTTAGTGGAGGAAAAACCCATGAAAGCCCTTCTCCAGGGAGCTGTCAGCTTACACTCTACCCTGAAGGATCTTGGATGGGACGGGGTCTGGGAGTAGCAAATCTAAATAGTGGGGCAGAGGCAGGGTGGGTGGGGAAAGGGGGTGCCTGAGTGGGGTTTCCAGACTGAGGACCGCTTTTAAGAACAGTGAGTTCTGTTCTATCACATAACATGTACACCTAGGCCCACCCAAGTCCCCTGCCACACAGAACTCAGCCAGCCACATGAGGCATCCTCATGGGGTGACTTGAGACCCCACATCCCAAATATCTCCTGGGGGACAAGGAAAGGGTGGATTTGGAGCCGGAGAGAGAAAGCTGCTTGGCTCTGGAGGTGGTTCATGATGTCGGCCCAGGTCCTCCCCCTCTGGCCACTGTCCGGTGAGGCGATGGCCTTTGACCGCAGGGAAATCCGCATCGGTCCTCAGGACACAGAAGCAACAAGAGCCCCAGAACCTTCCCCACCCCACAGCCTGATTCACCGGCTGGGCGCGGGCAGGGCAGGAGAGCCCCCAGCCAGGGCCCGAGCCGAACCAGCCCTGTGAAAGCCGAGCAGGCGCTGTGGACGGACGAACGGACTGACGGATGGACGGACGTGCAAGGACGAGGGAGGAAGACAGACCCCACCAAGGCAGGAGGAAGAGGAACAGGCACGGAGGGTCCTTCAAGTCACATGCAGGCAAGCGGGTTGCTGAAGAGGCGAGCAGAGGCGGCTCTCAGCAGACGGGGTTAGATCAGCTGTTCCTCAGGGGTTAATAAGCATATATGCAAATGACCCCATCGCCCCACCACCACCACCCAAGGCCCGCCCCCCGGACTTCTGCAGGCAGGGTTTGGCTTACTTGGTGTCAAGTTCTATGAGATTGGTATCTACTGGCGCCTCGTTCTCTGGAACTAAACACAGGGTGGGCGGGCGCCCGAGCATTAGTGGCGAGTGGGCATGGGGCCAGGTGGCTACAGCTCCCCACTCCACGGCAATGGGGAGGGCTAAGGAAGAAGGGAAGTGGGGAAGAAGGGCTGCTCCTTGATCTTGAAAACACCCTCAAATCATCCTAAAGGCAGGAAGGAAGGTCCAGGAGGGTCCACGAAGGCCCAGGAGGCCCCCCTGCAGCTCCAGAAGTATAGAAAAACCTCCGGACCCTACTCCTTTGTCATGCCTCCTACATGACTTAGATTCTTAAGTACAGGACTTTCATAAAGTGTTAAGACAACCTTATTTTTTCCCTCACATTTTCACGTCTCTGAACTTGGGGTATGTTTTACAAACAATGGCATCTGATAGTTTCATTGTGAGAACATTTTTCTTTCTTTGTGGTACATACTATCAAGTTGTCTCAGTTCAAACAGTCTTCGATTTAAGGAAATATGACCAATCTGGTCATCTGACCCCTCCGCTCCCAACCTCCCTCCCCATGGACAAAGGAGTCAAGACCTCTCTGTCTCTTGGGGGAGTCAGATGCAAATAGAGGAGTGTGGGCCTCACAAAAGACCCTGGGGAGCTGAGGGAAAAGGGTGACCCAGGGCTGAAGGCTAACCCAGAGTGAGATGGGATGATGGGGAGACACAGCAGCTGGTGGAGAACGGGGTCGGCAACCTGGAAACTCCCACTCCAGTGACCCACAGATCCTGCTCACCTTCACGATGTGGGGGTTCCTCTTTGGGCTTGGGGTGCATTAGGGTGAAGGGCAGTTCCACAGCCACGTCACTGAAACAGAGACCCAGACCCGGTCAGCTTTGAGCCCAGTCTCAGACTGTAAGACTCAATGCCCTATCAGTTTGAGGACTAGGGGAGGGTTTTATGGTCAGAGGAGGTAGCTCCCAGCTAAGGCAGGGAATCTGCTCAGGCCCTAGTTCTGCTACTCAGTGAACTTTACTCTCTCTAGGAGTTGAATTAGAAGACCTTTTCTGCTGGCTCCAAAAAGAAATGGAAACCTCCCCTTTCCTGAAAAGGATCCCTGGATTCTCATGAGCTGGGATGAGGCAAAGGGCTGGGAAAAGGACAGGGCAGTGTGCATGTTGGTCCCTCGGTGGCTCCAGAGGTGTCCGGGGACCGTGCAGGCCTCAAATCACCACAGCCAGCCCAGCCTTCCTTAACACAGCCCTTCCCCCCCTACTCAGTCCCACCTCCCAACATCTCCATGAGATTCTTATGAAAGTGCTCCAGTGGTCCTAACCCGTCACATCTGGATGATGCACTGCTGAGGTCAATTAATCAAATTCAAGTTGTATTGGCCCAGGCCCCAGGACTATCTACACTGTGCAAAGAGCCTTGAAGCCCTGTAGGGATGGAGGGTCTGGGTGGTGGGCAAGAACGGGGAAAGGGGCTGCCAACACCCAGTGCTTCTGACCAGGACCTCCCTCCCCTTGGCCCTGAGGAACAGAATAGTAACAAGGGCAGACACGTGGTGCTGACTCTGCGCCAAGGACTGTTCTAGAGTAGCTCCTTTAATCTCCACAACAACCCCATTATTATGGCATATGTACAGACTAGGAAATTGAGTCACAAGGAGGAAAAATAATACTGCACAAGGCCACACAGCTATTAATGGGAAGTGACAAGATTCGGACTCCATAATTGACATCCTTACCCACCGAGTGATAACTGCTCAGAATTGAGGTGGTGATTCCTATCCGTCCTCTGCTCTCCACTCCTACAGAAGCAGCCATGTTCCTCCTCTCAGCTTGGGGTGGTGTCACCTAGGAGGCCCTGCCAACTACGAGCACCTTCAGGCACAACCTTATCTCACTGACCTTGCTGCCCAGAGCCCAGTTGGTGGGGAGGAAGGGAGAGTGGTACAGAGTAGGCAGGGACACCGGCTGTGCAACCAGAAAGGTCTGTTCCTGGCCCCAGCACTGTCCGGGGGGACGCTTTTACATCTTCAAGTCTCACTGAGCTCATCTGGAAAATGGGGATAGCAATACTTACCTTCTAGAACCACAAGAACTTCTAGGAGATGATATAGGTGAAAGGTTTGACTGAACTGTGACACTGGTACCTGCCAGCATCATTACTTCCCCTCAGTGGGAACATGGGGGACTCATAGGCTATTAAAATAATCTGGCTTTTCTTTTCTTTTTTGGTTTTTGCTTACAAAGGGGATTGCTTTTCCAGGCTCACTTGGAAGAGCGAACTATCAGAATGGAAGAATGCATTTGCCAACCTTCGTTAAAGCCAAACAGGATGTGGGTGGAAGAATCTAGGCATTAACTCCAGCGGGCCATGAGTGATCAAGGACAGAGGATGGGACTGATTCCTCCCTGCGACCTCAGCATGTAGCACAAAGCTGGGCACAAACCTGTGTTCAGAAAATCTTTGTGGAGTTGTACTGAACCGAATCGAATTACTTTCACCTCGCCAAATAGATGATTTCTTGGGATGAACAACACTGCCCTCCTTGTGACAGCAGGAGGCAAATCCACTGCAGGTGGAGCGTGTGCAGTTCTGGGAATGTGCAAGGATCCAGCTGGCTACAAAGAATCTTGTCTACAAGGGCAGATCTCCACAGGCCCTCTCCTTAGCAACGCATGGCCAGCATTTAACTCCCATTAGTGTACAAGTGTGGAGGCCACGAAACCTGCATTTCTCCAAAACGCGAGACTTTTAGGGGGCCATTCCCCAGATCAATGAAGCTGACTTTGCTGTCTGCGGAGGTTCTTATCTCTTGGGTGGAATGGAAGGTTTTTAAAGGGCAGGTTTTTAAAGGAGAAACTGCATCTCCCTAGTCTCTTTGGAGAGGGCCCTAGACCAGGCACATGCCTGAGCCTCGCAATCAAAAGTGACTGTTAAGATTCCTTCCAACCCAGTGCCCTGCACTTCGGATCTCTGGGCCCTCCAGGAAGGTGGGTTGATCAGGTTGAAGGGAGGGACTTTACCTGGATGCAAGGTCTCCCAACAGGCTGGGTGGGTCAGAGGAGGCGGGAGAAGTGGTCAGGAGAGAGTTCAGAGAGGAAGAAAACAGAAAGTACGTTCATTCACCACCTTGCTGCCCATAGGGATAGGGAAGACCCTGAGATGCGCTCCCACCCGCCGCTGCGTGGCTGTAACCTCATCCAGAGATACAGAGATGCCATTAGCCTTGCCCAGGGGACTGAAATCCAGGCCCAGCTCAGCCAAATCTCCTCACAGGAGGTCTCACTAAGCCTGAGGATCCTTCTCTGCAAAGGAGACATAAAAACTGACCCCTGTGCTGCCCGCCCTGGGGAAGCCTCTCTGGTGGTAGAAGAAATCAGTTTGGGATTCACTGAGGATTCCTCAAGGAAGAGCCTGAGGCAGACTGTGGATCCTGCAAGAGTCACAGGACACAGGATTTGGGATTTTCAGGTCTGAGATGTCCTATATATGTGGTCAGTATTATACACTGCCACCTACATAAGGCATTATTCTAGAAATAAAGGGGATTCAATGTCTAAAGCTATTAGCATTCAAATCTTTTCATAGACATTTATGAATCAGAGAAAAAAAAAATCCCTGTGACAAATTAGAAATCCTCATTCTAGGTTTCCAACAACATGCAGGCCCGTTCTGTGGGGAAAAGTTCCATCTGAGCCTCCACCAGCTTGTGCTCCGGGGCAAGAAATATGTATGGTCTAGTGCAATGAGCCCAGCACCTAGCCTATGACCTGAGATCAGGGGAGGAGATTTCAGGAAATGTTTGGAAAACTGTCTGGGCCTCTGTTTCCCCATCTGTCAAATGGGAGAGTCAGAACTTCCCTAATCCAGCTTTCGTTAGCCATTTCCTCAGCAGATCAGCATGGGCATGAGCAGGGGTGGGTGCCGTGCCCCAACATGTGATGAGGGCACAGAACCCTCTGGAGATCCCACAGCATAGATTCTGAGGAATCTTGCCCCCCACCCCCACCCCCACCCAAACAACAACCCCAGGTGCCCAGACAGGGAAAGGGAAGAGGAGGAAGGGGAGGAAGGAGAGAAACATGGAGAGGGCAGGCAAGGGATTGAAAGCCTCTGAAGTGGGAGAGGGAAAGGAGGCAAAAGAGAAGGAAAAGGAGCATGAAAGGGGAGGAGAAAAAACAGGAAGTGGATGCTTTGTGGATGCAGCTAAAACGTCAGACTAACAGGTAGAATGGGGCAGTGGGCTGTGGATGGTCGGGGACACCCCGCTCAGCACTTCGAGTCTTGGGCTGGGCTAGAGCACTTACCCGCCCCGAGATACCACCAGCTTCACTTTCACCTTGTAGGAAACAATGATGCCCAGGATCTCCCGGTTGGCTCCTTCCCTCAACCTGCAAGGTGACATAGGGAAGCAGGTTCATGGTGGCTGGCTGGGTAGATGAGACACAGTAGGGTGGCATGGGGGGGGGCGGGGGCGGGTAGCAGCTATCCGTCCCTCTCCTGGTCCACTCAGCCACCATGTGCAAACAGAGCTCCGTATATGAGAAAAGTAAGCTTTGCCCTGAGTGGGTAGGAACCTAGAGCCCTGGGTCCCACCTCTGGTTGTAAAACTCAGTCCCTGTGCACACCTGGTAAGCCTCCTTCCTCCCTAGGCCCGAGTCCCTGCAGCGTGGTGGGTCCTTTCTACCCTTAGATGGATGGATTCTGCTTCTCTCACTGCTCAGCGACTCATGGGGCACAAAGGGCTAGACAGGCGGGGAATTCAGAGGGGAGGGGGGAAGCTGGCAAGGCAGTGGGGGGAGGTAGTGGGGCAGACCCTCCAGGAGATGTCCCCTCAAGTCTGGAAGCCTTGAAGTCAGATGGGATTTGAGCCAGGGTGGAAGAAGAGGAAGAGGGGCAAAAGCTTGGAGGTGAGTGTCTAGCGTGTGCGTGCGAACAACTGTGTGACTGGAACATGGGGTATGTGTGGGGTGTCACAGGCAGGGGGGCTGCAGAGGCAGGCCAAAGCCCCACTGAAGGGCCAGACCTCAGGAGGTAGGGCAAGAGGAGTCTCCATACCCCAGGTCTACACTATAGCAGGTAGCCTCAGATCCATGATGACCATGAGGCAAGAGTGATTGTATGGCCCAGGGATCCCTGCCTTTGAGGGGCACACCTCCATGGGTCTTGCCCAGCTCACTGTCCACATCTTCCCAGACTCCCCCCCCCCTCCTGATTCATCCCCTCCTGCTGGATAAATCCAGCCTTACTCTGCCTCAGGGACACACCCCATCTGACTGTAGCTACTAGGTCAGGAGTTGCTGCCTCCCGCAGGAAGCCTCTCCGGGTTGCACCCCCTCCCCCAGGCAAGCCAGAAGAGCCCAGCACTGACTAAGGGAGCTGGGTCTAGGGGCCCATCTTACTCTCTGGTCACCCCTGGATAGGAGTGGGAGTAAGGGGACAGCTTCCCTCTGGCTTAAGCTCCTGGGGATGGGCCAGGGACGCTGGGGGAGAAAGTAGCCACACCATGTACTGGCACTGGTGGGAACAGGTGTGTGTGGACCCACTGGGGGCAGGGAGTGGGGAGGGTGGGTCCTCACAGGGTGCTGGAGGCCAGGTTCGTGTCTTCGTGCTTGAGCTTCCCATCCAAGGCGAGGCCCCGCTTCTCTCGGTTGTTGGCCAGGAAGGGGGTCAGTGTGTAGACTTTGCAGAATGTCGAACTGGGTGCCACTGTGTCACTGGGAAGAAGGCAGGCGGGTGTGGAAATACTCCCCAGAGCCAACCTGCAGCCATCACCCCCAGCCCAGCCAGAACATCTCAAAGACAACATAGTAACATTTAAAACAGGTGTTTAACTTTCAAAACTACTGATTGCTATTACGTGTAAAACACACACACACATGCATGAAAAATTACATGAAATGCACTTGCCTCCCCAAAGGAGGCAGGGCCAAGGGGAAAAAAACCCTAAACAGATGTGTCTTCTAATGGGAGCATCTACTTCCTTTTTAAATGAGAAGAGTTTCATTTGGGATCTCTCCTGTTGACTCAGCTGCTAACAGGTTTGGGACAAAATTCCATGCTGTCCTCAAACCTAGAATTTTTAAAAATAATCATTCTCTACCCTCCCACACACAACCCCTTTTACCCAATGAACTGGATTATTCCTTGATCAGACAGGAAATGCTGTGTACCTAACACCTTCCCCTCTTTGCCGTGGCTGCCAGGAAGCTCAGAGCAAAGTATCTCCTTCAATCTCGGTTTCTAGTACAGGGTAGTCATGACTACCTAAGTCTGCTTAGATTCATTAGCTCTCATTTGGTCATTCTAGTTTTAGTAAGTCTTTCCCTTGACTGGAACATGCATTTCCCTGTAGCGAAATCAAGTGGACGTTTTCTAAAAGGCTGTGTGGGGTCATCTACCATGAGAGGCAAGAAAATCTGAGGCCAAGCCCTCTGCCAGGCGGAAAAGAGCCATCCGCACCTGTAACCAGAACCAGGGCTTCTCACTTCCCACCCAGTCCCACACATCCAAGGCTGGGCTTGTGTTCACTTACTCAGCCTCTTCCATGGCCACCGGGCACTTGTACTGGGCTGTGTTGAAAAGGCAGATGTCCGCATATTGACGCACTGGGGAGGAAGAGGGAAACAAGGTGGTGTGAGCCAGCGGTGCAGCTCCCAGGCAGGCTGGGCTCCCTCGAATTGAGGATGTCTGGTCCCGGTAATGGCCAGAGTGCACTGGGGGATTCTGCAAGAGGCCACCCCCATCTTCCACCTAAAAGGTAGTCCCCACACACCCACTCCCTTCCACTGCCACAAATCTCCCTCAAGGACAGCTTTGCCCAGAACCTAGGGAACCTGAATAGGTGGCTTAAACAGTAAACTCATTACCTGGCCAATGAACAGCTTGTATCACTAGCCTCAAAAGCCTTACCCTTTGGCTTAGAGCAGGCCCTGGGCTTCCCTACAGGCAGTAGTTATCTGTACGGCTGCTAACAAGGGGAGAAGCTTCAGCTCCCCCAACCCTTGGGTTGATTCCCTCTTGCCTGCCCCCCTGGGCTGGCCCTCTGCCCAGGGTACCCGAGATCTTGATCTTCTTCACTGTCTTGTTGGTGTTGTTGGTGACGTGAACATTAACGCTGATGGGTTCTCCATGGTAATAGATCTGGGAGGGGTAAGAAGGGGGAAGGGTTGGACAAGAGAGTATTAAAGCTCTAGAGAGGGGGAGAGAGAAGAGACCCCACACACATCTCCTGGGGTTCCCCAGACTTTGGCCACTCTGACATTGGCCTCAAGTTCATCAGCCGCTTCCCACTGATGCTACGTCACTGGGCATCTTCAGTTCTTTTGCGGGATTTTGAAAGATGATTGAATTAGAAGGTGATATTCCTGGGCTCCAGTCCTGACGTGGTCACCAGAAATAATGGGAGTGATGAAACCATGATAATGAAGGATGAGAGCGGCGTGACCTTGGACCCGTCTGTCTAAGCCTCAGCTTCCCCTTCTATTCAATGGAGGGGTTGGACTAAGTGATGTATCAAGTCCCTGCTCACTCTGGATGCCAGGAATTTCAGACACAGGAGGGTCTAAAAGAAGCAAGAGAAAGGTGGGGAAGAGCTGACCTGCTCACTGAGGGAACCGGCTCTGAGTCCTCATTGAAGGACCTCATCTCAAATCTTGTCCCCAACACCTGCCTTCAGCTGTCCCCAGAGATGAGGAAGCAGGGCCCATACCTCAAAAGGAGGAAGGCGTGTGGGGAGATGGCCAGGAGCCCAGGTCCCTTCGTGAGGTACCCTAACTTCTAAAGTCAATCGCACCCTTCAGACTCATACCCCACTCTGTCACTTCTTTAGGCCCCCAGAGCCTTCCCCAAATTCCCCAAGGGAGGTCTCAGATTCCCTGAACCCTGTGGCCTCAGGACTGGAGGTGGAAGCTCCTACCTAAGGAGCCTGAGAGGCCATCAGAGAGTTGGGATCTGAGGTCCCAGCCCCAGGAGAACAGCCCTCACCCCCCGTCAAGCCTAAACCTCCTACCTCCTTATCCAGGGAGGCCTCTAGATGCAGGGGCTTGTCCGACATGAGGAACTGCCTGGTGGTCTCAGCTGTGGGCTGGGGGCCAGGCCTCTCCGGGGCATACTGAACCTTCCTGATAACCAGGCGCACGGAATTCCTAATGAAGATGGACAGAGCAAAAGAACAGCCAGAGTCACCTGCCTCCATTCCGTTCCCTTGGGATCTTCCCTTTCCTGCTCAAGAGACTGCAATGGCTCCCCATGGCCTTAGAATCCAGTCCAAACCACAAGGGTTAACATAGGGGCCTTGTCACCACCTGGCCCCACTCAATGCTCCCCCACTGTGGCCGCAGCCACCCCTACTTCCTCACTATCATCCTTGATGGTCTATCTAGTCTTTTCTCTGCAGCTTCACTTGCACTGCCCCCACCTGCAACACCCTCTTCCCACTTCTGCTCTCATTTGCTCCCTTCTTCAAGGCCCAGCTAAATCCCTCTTCTTCTAAGAAGCCTTCCTAGATCGGCTCACTTGATTTTCTCATGGTCTGAACTCCCACACAATCAAAGTTGGACTATCCCATTGCAGCATTTGATGTGGGTCTGTGTCTTAGCAGCCAGCAGGATAGCAAGAAAAAGACTGTGTTTTCACTTCCTGCATCCCTTATGTCACTTCATAGCATAAGCTCTTTAAGGACAACATTTTGTATCTAAATTGTTCAGTGCTGTGTTCTCACCACCTATGACAGTGCCTGCCATCTAACAAGTGCCCACCAAATATCTATTACATCAAAATACACAAAGGGGCTCCATGAAGAAATGGGGTCTCAGAGAGGTGATGGGGTTCCGTCAGAGGGTATGGATTCAGTCAGGGGGGTGCTGGCCAGCAAAGAGGATAGAGACTCAGTGGGTTGATGGAGGCTCAGAGATGAGATTGGGCTCAATGAAGGTGACAGGGGCTCAGGGGAGAAATGAGGGAGGACACAAGAGTTGGGAGGGGATGGGACCCGGGGAGGTAGGGTCTGTGGCATGCTGGGTTTGCCAGCACCCGCACTTCTCAACTCTACTCCCTGGAACTGGATAGCCAGGGTTAAGGTCTAAGCTCTCCCTTTATGAGCTATATGACCTTGAGTAAATTAACCTCTGGGTCTCAGCTTCCTCATTTGTAAAATGGTAACAATAGTGACACATACCTCACAGGGTTGCTGTGAGGATTAACTTAGTTCATACGTGTTTATCACTCTGAATAGTGTCTGGCCCTTAATAGGCCCTTGATAAATGATAGTTGCTGTATCATTAGTAATAGTAGCAGTAGTATGGACTTAAAATATCCCATTGGTAGTGGGGTGAAGGTGGTGGCCTTCAGTGTTGTTCTTTTTCCTTGGTCTTGTGAGGCCTCTCCAAAAACCCACAACCCCCTTTCCTTCCCCTGGTCTCAGATCTTAAGAAGAAAAAGAAGCCAGAAGCCAGGGGAAGGGTCCCAGCTCCCCAAACTCAGGAGTTTCCCAAGCTGAAGATGGAGATGCCTGCAATACACACTTCAGCCACCAGATGGCAAACTCAGCCCAGGTTCTAGGAAGTTGCAGCGCCCTCCCTCAACCAGCCTCCGTTAGGAATTGGGCCTGGAGAGGCAGAGTACATTCGAGTTGGGAGCTGAGACCAGCCTCACCAGGAGGACCTGCTTTGAGAAGCAGCAGGCATGAGAGCAGGGCTGGGCAGTCCATCTCAGAAGTCAGGGCTAGCTATTTCCGGCTGCCAGCCTAGACTGTCTGCCCAGGGCTGTGCCTGGCTGGGAGAGCACTACCTTCTCTAACCCTCCCCGTCACTTTCCCCAGGGGTGGCTTAACTGACTGCACTTCCCTCCCTCACGTAGAAGCCTCCACTGACCCCACATCCCACCCCAAGCACCAGCTACTCCTGATGGCCTCCCAGGAAGAGAACCGGGGAGTGGGGGGTCTAAGATGGCTGGGAAAAATCTTGTTCGCTGTTAAAAGCAACCTTAATTTTGTGTTTCTTTCCAAAACAAAATAAAAAGACATGCAGTCTGGTGGGGCAGAACTAGAGGCAGGGAGGGAGATGGAGGAGGCAGGTACAGTGGTATAAAGGAAAAAATGCAGAGGCTTGAGCCAGGGCAACGGAGCCACCTCCCCCAGGAAACCCTCCATGACTTGCCAGCCTTCCAGAGTGCCCTTGTCAGAGTTCCTGAGGCTGGAACGTGTGGCCCCTCCTCTCACACTTCCAGGTATTTTTACTTATCTCTTCTTCAGACTTTGCAGGTCCTGTCTCCCTCCCTCTGCCAACAGGCAGCCCACACCCCGCGGAAGCTGTGCCCTTCTCACCGCTTGTGGATCTTCTCCTCCAGGTTCTCAGCACAGAAGGCTTTGACTTCATAGTCCACACCACAGGCCTGAGGGGAAGGGGCTGCTGACCACAGGGCCTTGGAGAGGGCAGGGTCCCGACAGCACAGCCATCCCGCCCTCTCATGTTACAAACGAGGACGCTAGATGGGAACACCGGACTCTCACAGCCCCACCTCAGCCTGACTCAGCGGCCCTGTGCCCAGCCCCAGTGCTGCGCCGCCTCCCTCTGTGGCTGCCTCCCCACTCTGACCTTCCCACAGAGCTCTCCCAGCTCCCCCCACACTGGACATCCCACACTGCCCTAACTGGACTCCACTCTCCAGACACCTGCCTGGTCTGGGCGGCTGTCCTCAGCAAGGCAGCCACCCGGAGATAACGGCGGGTGCCTCAGCCACCCTGTTTGGGGAGCACGTGCTGTGTGCAGAGCCCACAGCACCTCAGTGTCTTGTTCCCCGCTCTCAACCACACGAGGACATACATCCTATTGTCTCCATTTTGCAGATGAGGGAACTGGGGCTCGGAGATCTGGGGCCTGGGACATCTGGGGTGGTGTCACTTCTCTCTGAGCCCCAGTTTCCCCATTTGTGAAACCACAATGAATGCACCCCCATGTGAGGCTGTGAGGCCAGGTGGTAGTCCGGAGAATAGTTTGGCTCTGCTACAGCCAGCAAGCCCAGGAGACTGCACGTCACTGAATGTGGGGGTGAGGATGACACTGTATCGGCCACCCTGTACAAAGAGACTGCTTATCTGAGGTGGGACTGAAGTGGCCTAGATGCAAGGAGGCTTCTACACAGAGGGTTCCAGTACCTCCCAGAGAGAGAGCCAGGGCCCCGGGGACACAAACGTCCTACACCCAGAGAAATGCTCCGAGAGAGGGGACCCACCTTCCCTGTGTCTTCAGGCCCCGGCTGCAATGTCACGGAGCATGGGAGGTTCGGAGGGATCTGTTAAGAGGACAGACAGAATAGGTCTCCCGTCACAGTCACCACTGACCTCCCCGGTGCCCACCCATCACCCCCACACACATTCATCAGACCAGGGGCCCCTAGCAGCAGGCCACGTCTCTTCCATCAGACTAGGGGCTCCAGAAGACAGACCATGTCTCCCCCATCAGACCATGGCAAGGATGCCCCACATCGGGCTGAGCCCCCTCCAGTAAAGCTAAGGATTTCAGTGTCTTTCTTCACCTAAAGGGTTTCGCCTGGACTGTGATAGAATAATACCCTCTCCCAAAGATGTCCATCCACATCCTAATCCCCAAAACCTGTGACGTGCTTCCTCACATGACAAAACGGATTTTACAGGTATGGTTAAGTTAAAGATCTATAGATGGGAGAGTAGCTGGGATTATGCAGGTGTGTCCAATATAATCACAAGGGACCTTGGAGGGGAAGCAGGAAGCAGGAGAGTCAGTATCAGAGTGTTGGGCTGTGGGAAAGACTGCCCGGCACCTGGTGGCTTTGAAGATGGCGGGGCAGGCTGTGAGCCCAGGAGCATGGGTGGTCTGCAGAAGCTGGAAGATGCAAGGCCTAGAGCCCCCCGGAAAGAACACAGCCCTGCTGACATCCTGATGTCAGCCCAGGGAGACCCGTTTTTGACGTCCAGCCTCCCAAACTCTAAGATGATAAACTTGTGTTGTAATTTCGTGTTTAATTCCCACCAGGTTGGCGGTGGTTGGTTCCACAGGCACAGGAAACCAAAGTGTCTATGGTGGAGAGGATGACTGTATCCTCGCTCCTGCCCTAACCTCCTAGCAAGCCAGAGGAGTTCACTGAATCACAGAATCAGAGTCTGAGAAACAGGAGACTTGAAAACCCAGCATCTGGGAGTCTTTCCCTTCGGAAAAGTGGCAGAGCAGGGAAATCACTACGCGCCATCCCTCGTTTGTGAGCTGGGCTGAAGCCCGGCATGTGGGCAGCTGGTCTGAGGGAGGAGACAGTCTTGTAATAACTCAGGGGTGAAAAAGGGCTCCTTCTTTCTCTACGGTCTCTCCCCACCCTACTCTCCCCTGACATGGGAGGGTCCAAGGAGTAGCCCAGAGGTAAGGTGCCGCCCCTGGCGGTGGCCAGAGAAGAGACACTTACCAGGTAGTGTAAGTGACAGTGCCCCAGGTCCCAGTGTACACCGAGAAACTGAGTGCCATGGAGCTGCTGCCCCAGCTGCCCCCACGTGCCTGCCCAGGGGGCTGGCGGTCCCTAACCTCAAAGGTGAAAGGGTAGGCGTGCTCGCCCAGCTTCTTGATGAGGCGCTCCTGCAGCCGCGTCAGGGGCTTCTTGTCCTCAGGGGCCGGCGGGAAGGACTGCACGTTGGCCACAAACAGGTCCTTGCGGAAGGTCAGGCCCAGGACATCCAGGTCCTCCCGGCCATAGCGGAAGGCGCAGGTCAGTGTCACATAGACTGTGGGAGCAGGGTCACTGAGGACAAGCCCAGGCGGGCAGCAAACAAGCCTCCCCAGAGCACCAGCTGAGCCCTGGGATTGGCCCAACTGGAGCTTCTAGGTCTGTCTTCTCCGGTGGGGAGGGCTGTGCTGCCCTTGAGAGGGGGATACTGGGTACCTGGGCCATTCAGGCCTGGCCCCTAGGAGGGGGAGACAAGTGCTGGGTGGTATCTGGAAGGCCTGAGGTCTTGTCACAGCCCAACACCCACCCAGTGGGACAATCCCTTCACCTCCCTGGGATTCCGTTTTCTCTTCTGTATGAGATCCTAACTCCTGCCCTGTTGGGCAGCCCCAGCCTTGCAGCAGTCATGATATACCGACGTGAGTGTGCTCAGGACACTGCAAAGGATCTCCCCAAATGGGCACGAGTGGGCCGCTCCAGGCCGGAGGAGGCCAGAGCACCTGCTCTGATGTTCATTGGAGCTGCAAAGGGAAGAGCCAGTGGGGCTGGGCAGGGAAAGGCCGTGAAAGTCCTGCCTGGGACTCAAGTTGGTGGGGAATAGGAGGCCCCTTGACAGGCTGGAGGTGGGGACCCCCACCTCACCTCTCCTCTCCTTGAGATACTCAGGATCCACCAGGACCACACCATCTGGAAGAAGGACAGAGAGTAAGCAGACCCTCCCAGCTTGACCTCTTGAATTCCTGAGCCCCAAACACCAAGCCAAACCCAAATGTAACCATCTGTCTGTTGAAAGGCATCACGAGAGAAATGGGGAGGCCAGCGCCCTCTGCCCCCAGGTCACCTGGTGACCTGGGGCACGTTACCTCTCCATTTCTTCTCTCTTAAGAAGAATGATGATATGGGTTTGAAACCCCTGCGATCACGTATCCTTTAGAATTTAGAGGTTCTGAATTGTGAAAAGGCCCTGTGGTACACCTCCCAAATAGTCTGTGACACCCTCCTCAGGACCTGGGGCCCCAAGACAAACCCATTAACACCTCAGCAGGGAAACATGAATATTTTCGCAAGAGGCTAAAGTGTAAAGAGCTCCCTATGGGTTCAGGTCAGGTTTTGCCTCTGAGTGAATCCTACATCAAACTTATGAGCAAGTTTAGATTTCCAGAGTTTCTTGGACTTGGGATTTGCAGATCGGGACTTGTGATCCTGAAGAGCCAGCCTCACAGGGCTCCTGTGAGGACTAAGTGAGTGACTATGTTTAAAGGGTTGGTTGGTGTGGGGCTCATGTGATACCACGGAGAATGTCCCATGGCCTGGCCCTGGGACAGTAAAGTCCAGCTGGACACAAAGGACATTTTCTCTGCACAGAACCCCAGGAGGCCAGAAACTCCGACTTAGGGGTCACCTCCTTGTCTGGCAGCCCCGGTCACCTCTGGCCAAACTTTACCCAGCCATACTCAGACCCACCGAACAAGAAAATTCTTTCTCCCCAGCTCTAACCCACTGCCAGCCTCCCGTGATGACGCTGCCCCACAGCAATCTCTCTAGGAATCTCAGAGGCCACATCTGGAAATGAGTCCTGGAGGGCTCTTGTTCCTGTCCCGGTCCTGGGCAGGTCCAAGGGATACCTGGCCAGGGGACACCCACCCGTCCCAGAACCTGCTGGGCATCTCCCCTCCTTCTAGTATGGGTATTTCCTCTGTGCCTGAGCACTGGGGCCCCATAAGAAATCAGGGGAGAGGGCACTCCCCCAACCAGGGGTGTCAGGCAAGGAAGGCTTCTTGGGGGAGGGAAGTGGAAGCTAGGTCTTAAAGGGCAAGTAAGCGTCACCAGTTAGATGACCAAGGGGCAGCACAGGGCAGTGGGAAGAGCCCGGCCCTGAGGCTTGGGAAAGTAGACCCTGGGGGCGGCTGAGGAAGCAGGGCCAGGCCTGGCCTGCAGTGTGCCGTCTGCAAGGCGAGGGGCTTGGACTTGCCCCAAAGAGGGGAAATGGGGGATAGGTAAGCATTGGGAATTCATAATCAGCTCAATGCCGTGATGGAAAAGGTGTTTCACTCTTGTGGGTCATCTGATCCACTGTGGACAGTGTTCCAGAGCTCTCTGGCATCCCCAGGCCCCAGCACAGGGCCTGGCTGGAAGCAGGTGCTGTGAACACGGACTGCACAGCTCTAGGGTGCCTGTGGATGCTGGGGAGGCTGGTGGTCTCCTGCCTCTGCCTTGCCCCGGGCTTCTGTGCCACCAGCAGGGCTGCCCTTAATAGGCTGGTGGGTGTGGAAAGTGTGCCTTGGAGCAGGCCATAGGCAAACACTGGGGGGCCTGCTCACCACCTCCAAGAGGCCAGCTCAAGGGGGAAGTGCAAATGGCAGAGGGTACACTGAGCTTTGGAGGACACCAGCGTCCCCAGACAGCACAGGGAAGGAAAGGTGGGGTCGTCCAGCTATAGGCCAGGAAGGGAGGGCCTAAATGGGAGCTGGCCTCTCCCCAGCCCACAGCCCTGCACACACACACCCTCAGCAGAGGGGCCCCGGGGACCCCCAGTCCCTCTGCCCCCGCTGTCACAAAGGGCTTCCAGTCAGCCCAGTCCTGCCAGCCGTGCTCTCTCTGCTCCTCGCTTGGCTCTGGAACCATCCACTCAGTTCTGCCCTTGGGCCCCACGACAGGTCCCAGGGGTGCGACAACAGAGGCCACGTTCTCTGTGAATTTTCCCCACGCATGCATCCAGTTTCTCCGCCTGGACTTGACCTCACGCAGTTTCCGATGTCCGTCCTCCCAATCTGTCACCTCCTTTGGCCTCACTTTGGTTTGTTCATATCCCTCTGAAATCATTTAACCCCTCTGGGCCTTGCTGTCCCCATATGTAAAATAGGGATAATTCTGGACCCACATCCCTCCAGCAGCTGTGGGGAGAGGCAGTGGGGTCAGGCTTTTCTAACGAGAGCTATGGTTCTTAGAATCCTAACTAGGGGTGACTGTGACCCCCCCCCCCAGGGGGATACCGGGCAATGTCCAAAACCATTTTTGATTGTCCTGCTGGGATGGGGTTACTCCCAGCATCTAACAGGCAGAGGCCAGGGATACTGCTAACCATCACCCTACAACACACAAGACAGCCTCGCCCACAGAGGGTTATCCAGTCCGAAATGTCAACAGCGCTGAGGCTGAGAAACAACTGGAGTAAGACTTTGAAAGGTGCTTTCCGCCACACCCCAGCCTCTGGCCAGACCTGTGTGTGGGTGAGTACAGACCCAGGTTCATAATCCCTGAGGTCTTCCTCCCCCTCCCCCCTTTGCCATCAGGAGGCAGCAAAACAAAGGTTCTGTGGAGCACTGCCTGGGTTTGAATCCAGGCTCCTCAACCCACTAGCTCTGTGACCTGGAGCAAGTCACTTAACCTCTCTGGGCCTCATTCTCTTTATCTGCAAAGCAGGGATAATTATGGAGCTACCGCAGTGTCTGGTGTGCAATAAGCCTCACACTGAGTGGTGGCTGCTATCGTTATCTGCCTCACTGTCATCATCATCAGGCCACCCTCCCGGCTCCCTCCCTCAATCCGTCCACACTTTCCCCTCACGTGTCCTCACTGAAGGGAAAGGGGCTGCTCAGTAAATGTGGTAAATTTTTGCCAAATGACAGGAAACCTCATACGCCCTGTTCTTGACACCAGCTCCCTCTGGAGATTCCTGGATGGCTTTAACAAACCTTCTCTAGAAGGGGCCAGGTCAGCCCAGTCTTCCCCCACCCTCCTCCCTGGCCTCCGCAGGGACTCACCGACAGGGTCCACGAGGTCGATGTGGTCCACAAAGTCCCGTTTTCCCAGATAGACAGTGAGCTGGGGAAGACAGGCACAGGGGGTGTTAGCAGCCATGGACCTGGGGGACACATCCCTGAAAAGCCACTGGCCCTTGCTCTGGAGGAGACCCTGGGAGCTGCCTGTGAAACCCCTAAACCCATCCATCCCTAATACATATTAAAGTCCTAACTGGATTTGAACCCGAGCTCCAGCCCTAATACTAACAAACCCCTGTATGATTTTGAAAGTACCTGTTTATCCTAAACCCCTATGAAGAAGTTATCAGTGTTCCCATTTTATAGACGAGACCACTGAGGCCTGGGATCTTCACACCAAGCACCACTGAGGGTAGAGAAGCAGCAGCAAAGACGTCTGGGCACATCTCCGAGACATCAAGGGCAATGCACAGCAGGGCCAAAGGGCTAAGGACGGAAATGCTCTAAACGCTGAGCTCTGTGCCCCGCTGCTCCTCACCCCTGTGCAGTCTGGCAGCGGTCCACTCATACTAGGGCTGGTTTTCTGAGGCAGTGGGGACCCAGAAGCCAGTGTCCTGCTCGGTGGCCAGCCTGCAGGGAAGAACCTCCCAGGGCTGGAATCCAGAGTGTCATCCAAGACACTTCTTGCTCCAGCACAACCCCTGCATCCAGTTGAGCCCCCCTCCCTCCATCACAGCTCTCAATGCACCCCTCCTCCTCCCCACCGCCACTGTAGCCTGAACAGCACACCGGACATACCAACCCCTTCTGCAGCCTCGGAAGCTCCAGGCCTTTCTCCCCTCCTTAGGCCAGACTAATCATCCTAAAATGCAAATCTGACGATGCTACTCCTCCCTGAAAACCCTCTAATGGTTCCCTGGGCCCAGAGGTAAGATGACAAATGGGTTTCATTCCAAATGCCAACTCTGATAGATGGGTGCTGCCCAGGGCTCTTGGTGGAGAGGCATCTAAAGCAGGATCCTGGCTCAGCAGGAAAGGGTGAACAGTGACTGGCGATGTCTGTTGTGGGCACAGAGGGGAGACCTGGGAGCACAACGAGGTGCTATCTGCCAGCCCAGGAGTCCAGGCTCCTACGCCCTATACCTGCCCTGCCTCAGCTCCCACTCCCTGTGCCTCCCTCCTGGTGCTCAGATTCAACTGCTGCTCATTCCCCCCCACCCCCTGTGAGTTATGCTCATGCCTACAATACCTGTTTTCACTCTCTTTCCTGGGAGTGCATCCCTTTTAGAGAAGCCATCCCAGACTGCCCAGGCTGGATCCCGTAGCCCCTGGGCACCGCTTTATCTCACACCTGCCATTTCATACTGAAATGACCTGTTTCTGTGCCTGCCACCCCCATCTGACCGTGAGTGGCATGGGGTGTGCCTCGTTTGTCTTGGAGCACCCTACCCCAGTCCCTGCCGGCGTGGCCTGCACCCGACAAGGGATGATGTCAGTAATATGCACTTGCGGAACTGAAGGGAAAGCAGAATGGAGCCTGGGGCCCGTGGAAAAAAAGAAAGCAGAACAGACCCTGGGCACTGCCCTGGATAACTAGGTGATGCCAGGGTTCGGTAAAGAGGGTCCGGGGAACCTCTCCCACCAGGGGATCAGTGCCCCCGAGGCCCTTGACACTTAGTCTAATTATCATATTCACAGTTAAGTCCCAATAGGCTGTATCTCAAACCAGAGTAGGGGTTCCCTGAAGTCCGGGGGAGTTGGACTGCCCCCCTCAGACAGAAAGTTTCTCGAAAGGCCCCTCCCCCTGTGGTAGGTGGGCCCCTAAGGACAGATGAGGGCGTGCAGAAGTGTCCAAGACAGGACAAACGTTTGGGGCCAGGCAGGAGGTGGGGCGCGGTTGTTACAGACTCACCTTTCCATTCGGGCTGGCCTTCTTGAACACCCTGTGGACAGAAAGAGAGAGAAAGTCAGGACTGGCACATCCCACCAGGGTAAGGCTCCTGCAGGCCATCCCTTGGCAGGCCAGAGGGCAAGGGCCTAGAGTGCTTTCCAGGCACCGCGCAAGCCTTGAGAGCCAGAACGATGTCTGGCATAATCGGATCTCACCCCCTCCAACGCCAGCCCACCCAAACCTCCCTTACTGCCATCACAGCTCCTGTGGGATCTGGCCATGGCCCTTAGGCCTCATTTTCACACAGCAGGCTGAGGGAGTCTCTAAAGAGATGTGGGACCATACCATTCATTTGCTCAAAGTCCTCCCAGCTCAGGCAAAGAAAAGCCTGCGTGTGTGTGGTCTGCCCTGCCTCCTATGCCCTTGGGCTTCACCTTCCACTCTCCCTCACCCCTCCAATCACATTTCCTCTTTGCTATTCTTCCAACATACTAGGGTGGGTCCTGCCTCCAGGCCTTTGCTCTCGCAGTCCCCTCCCCCTGAGATGCTCCCCACAACAGATCTACTTGCCAGCCCCACGCCGTTCTGTGATGGGGCTCCGCTGTGGCCTCACCTCTTACCCCCTCTCCTCCCCTGGCTCTATTTTCTTTCCCACAGCACTCCTGGCTTGCTAACCTACTACACAAGCAACTTGCTAATTTATGCCTGTCTGCTCTGCTGACATGTCAGCTCCACGAGGCAGAGAGCTTGGTCCTTCTCCACAGATACATCCTGAGCACGTAGAACGGCTTCCCTGGTAGGTGTTTAATAAATCTGTGTTAATGCATGGCAGGTAGCAAGCACTCAACAAATAGTAGAGTGAGTGAATGAATGAATTAGTGAAGGAATCAAATGAAAAACTGAGGCCCAGGAAAGACAGGAGATGTGTCCATGGCCACACAGCAGAGCACTGGAAGTGCAGTCCCCCAACCCTTGCAAAGTGCTTGCTGGGCCTTCTAGGGCACACTGTGGTCCCCACCAGTGCCCCCCTCATCCTCTCTCCCCTTGAGACCCCCTCACCTAGCTCCCATCGTCTGGCCCCAGAATTGCTCAGAACACTGTTGGGAGGAAAGGAGAAAAATGAAAAAGGCAGAGAGAGCCTCAGAGACCAGAGAAGGTGTTGGAGGAGGGAACGGGGAGGGAGGGGAGGGGAGGGGGGAGGGGGGGAGAGGGATGCTGTCCTGCAGGCATGAAAATAACAGATGGAATGAGAGAGGAAAAAAAAAAACAGAGAAACTCACAAACACGAGGCCCAGAGGGTCCACACAACCCACATGGGTCCCCGGGAACAGGGGGTGCAGCAGGCATCTAGGGCAAGGCGGGGTGAGGCCCGCAGTGCCCCTGTGGTAGTTGCTCCTCCCAGGGGGGTGGCCCTGTGCTACCTCCACAGCACCCCCTCCAACTTCTGGGGCCCAAGGGACCACGGATAGGTCTGAGCCTGGCTTGCAAGAAGGGCCTGGTGCATCTTTCCCCCACCTCCCCTGGTTCTGGGCTTTTCTCCTCCTTATAAATATTTATCAGTGTTTGGAGTGTGAAAATGCCACAGTCAGCTGGGGTGTAATAGTTGCTAAAGTGAGAAAAAATACAGATCACACGGTTTGAAGCAGCAGCTCCCAAGTGAGGGCTGGGCCTGCAGAGGAGGCCCGAGAGGTGCCACAGGCCCCAGGGACCCCCAACTGCTTTCAAAAACCTTAGTCCACCTCTCAGGAGCCCAGAGTCTGGCAGAAAGGAGAGGCCACAAATGCCTGAGTTATAACTGAATCAGGGAAATAACTGAGTCAGGGAGAGCCATTCTAGCGATCCTTGAGAGGGCCCTGGGGCACCCCACCACTGGAGGGGGCTGAGGGCCAGGCTGGGGGGAGTGATGGTCAAGAAGGGAGGGACGGAAGGAGAAGGGGCAGTAAGATGGAACAAGCATTTGTTGGGCTCCTGTTTCTCATAACACACTGTGAAATGGACATTACAACTCCCATTTTACTGATAATGAACTCAAGGTTCAGAGACATCTAATCATTTGTCCAGGAATGAACAGCAAGCAAGTGGCTAAATCAGGATTCAGACCCAATTCTGTCTGCCTCCAGAGGCTGGGCCCTTTATAGCCCACACGGCTGCACTCCTAAAGCAAGGGTTTTTCATCAGCTTTGGGGAAGAACAGAAGAGAGGGGAAATGAGAACTGGGGAGGGGAGAGGGAAGAGATGAAAGGGTGAGTAAGGATCGAGAAGGAAAGCAAGGGCAACAAGGGCAGGAAGTGTGGTCGGTGGTGGGGAATGTCCCGCTAACTCAATCAGCCCACCTGCTCAGGAAGCTGGGATTCGGATGGCTTCTTCAAACAACAGCAGCTTCCCATGCCCTGAGCACCTGTTCTGCCCTAGTCATGCCTCTGAGTGTTTTTCCCAGAATACTGCTGAGCCTTCAACAATCCCATTTCAGAGATGAGGAAATTCAGGCTCCAACAGGGGAACTCTGTCTGCCTCCAGAGTCCACGTCCTTTCCACTCTGTCGCCCAGCCAAGCACTCCCTGAAACAACCCTATTGGCTTCCTGACCCCAACCCTGGGCGGGAGGTGGGGGTGGGGGGTGGGTGCTTCCAATTCACCAGGCCCTGCCCTCAGGCAGCACCATACAGATGGCTTCTGCCGGGTCCACTGCAAAGAGCAAGCGCAAATGCGCAAGACTGTGGTCAAAACCAAGCTTCCAGATGGTGGATCGGCTGGGTTTGGTTCACCCCTGAGACCCATCCATGCTCTGCCAGCCTGGTTCTCAGAGTCAAAGCTGGGTCCCCTAAGACATATACCAGTGGTGTCCCAGCTAATTAAAACTCACTGGAGACAAACAACAGAAACCCAACAAGGGTGGCTCGAGGAAAGGGGGAACGAGAATGAGAAGGAGACAAAAATCTCACGGGAAGGATGCGCAGGCAGAACGCAGGAGTGCTGGACCCGGGAACGGGGAAGCCATCAGCCTGTCAGGCGGTTGCTCTCTCTCCACCTCTCCCCCTGGGGCTGCATGTTCTCAGGCCTGCACTGCTCTCCTGGGCAGCTGCTCCATGGTCTCTGGGGACCGACTCTCTCTGCTTACTCAGGGCTTTTCTGCTCCCTCATCATTTCGGCTTGCACGTGGCCCTCACTCCGACCCTGTTTCTACTCTGCCTCTCGCTCAGCTTCTGTTAACTGGCCGAATGGCCCAATTCCAAATTCCCAGGAAAGGAATGTGATTGAGCAGCTTTGGTCAGGTGCTCCATGCCTGGGCCAACCAGCTCCGTCAAGGGCGTATCACGTGTCCCATGAGGCTTGGGCAGAGGGGGGCTTATAGAGCAGTGTTTTACCAATCGAGGGTCACAACCCATTAGCTGATGATGAAATCAACTTAAAGAGTTGCCACCGGCACTTATAAAAGAGATAAGCATTAATACAGATAACAAGGGTATAGTAGATATTACTATATTTACTAATATTCCATTTCCCTCTAAGGCTGGGGAACTTTCTCCAGCCCTGTGAAATTAGACAGCCCCATGTGACTTGCTCTGGCCAATGAGACAGGACTAGAAGTGCCCTGTGTCACTTCAGGGCAGAAGCATTTAAGGGCTAGTGTGTGTGTCAGTTTTCTATGGAGCCTTTAACAGATAACCACAAATTTAGTGGCTTGAAACAGCATATACTTAGCTTACAGCTTTGTAGTTCAGAGGTTCAAAATGTACCCCACTGGGTTAAACTCAAGATGCTGTCTGGGCCACATTGTTTTCCAGAGACTCCAGAGAGGAATCTGTTTCCTCACCCTTTCCAGTTTCTAGAGGCCACCCACATTTTTTTTTTTTTAACATTTAGTTATTTTTGAGACAGAAAGAGACAGAGCATGAGCTGGGAAGGGGCAGAGAGAGAGGGAGACACAGAATCTGAAACAGGCTCCAGGCTCTGAGCGGTCATCATAGAGCCCGATGTGGGGCTGGAACCCACGGACCGCGAGATCATGACCTGAGCCGAAGCCAGACGCTTAACCAACTGAGCCACCCAGGCGCCCCATAGAGGCCACCCACATTTGTCTCTCGGCCTCTTCCTCCATCTTCAAGGCCAACAACAGCAAGTTGTGTTCTTATTATATTGCATCATTCTGACCTTTTCTGCCCCCCCTTCTATTTTTAAAGACCTTTATGAATACATTTCACCCCCTAATTTAAGGTGAACTGGTTTAGCAACCTTAATTCCATCTGCGACTGTAATTTCCCTTTAATCATGATTTGTAACATGTTCAAGGGTGTCAAGCATTAGTATGTAGACATATTGGGGAGCCACTCTTCTGCATACCCCACCCTCCTCCACTGCCACTGAAACCAGCAATGGTCTGGAGGGAGAAGACTTCTGTCAACTAAATACCAGGGCTCTCCTGCTGCATGATAGATGTGTAACACAACAGAAAAGGAAAGCTCTTGCACCACTAAGAAACGGGCCTTGTGTGTTACTGCAGCTTCTCCAGGCTGATACAAAAAGTATTATTTAGCAAAACTTTCATTTCAGGTCAGCTGAGTTACAATGTCAAATGAATTTCATGCTGCAAATGTTTTCATTTTTTAATCCACTGTTCTAGAGAAATATGCCTAAAATGAACATGTTCTATCAATGTCTATGCAGTCGGTTGGATCGGTTTCCTGATTTCATTCCATCAGGTGGGCAGGCAGCTCTCCAGTAACCAGAATGTTGGCTTTTCCAGCGAGTCCTATTCCCTACCTGAAGCATGGGATACTTGCTAATCAATTTTAATGTTCTTCTGCCCTTCTGTGAGCCAACTGTCCTCCCACTGTCCATTTGTGCCTGTGCCATGAGGGACCCAGAACAAAGTACTTTCCATGATAGATGATGCGAAAACCCACAGCTTTTGGTACAGCCAAACAATGGAATATTACACAGCACTGAAATTATTCTTGCATTTTTCATAACACCAGGAAATGCCTAGGATAGAATATTAAGCAGAATAAGTCAGGATTCAAAACAATATATTCAGCATAATCTCAACCCTATA